AAAATATAAAATTATAAAGTATTCTTTAAAATATTTCAGAAATATTTACACATTAGCAAATGCTCTCAATTTCATATAAAAATTAGTACCTGAGAAATTTGCTACGTGAGTACATTCATCCATGACTCCTTTCATAAATATTAAAGGTTCTTTCCGAAGATTGGTTCTTCTTTGTTCTTTACTAAGAAGGTGGTATGACTGAGGGTTGCAACTTGTATAACTACTTTTGCTGGTTGAAAGTGTTTGATTGAAGCACTCAATCTTAGAGGTATCTTGCAGTAAGAGTCTTTCTGATGTGGCACTAACACATGTTTTACTAGAATTATGGCAGTCAGCAGGTTTTTGGGATACAACTTGGTTTGTTATATCTAAATTTAAAGTTCTGGAAACCAGATTAAGGTTAGTTAGCTTGTCTGCACTGCTAGCGAAGCGTTTCACAAACTCTTGTCCCATTTTGAAAGAATCTGTCTGAATATATGAAAGGAAAGAAAACATTATTTAATATAAAATAGGGTTTTATTATCAACTTTGTTAAAGAGAAAAAACAAATGTCCATCAATGAATAAATGGATAAACAAAATGTGGTATATGCAAACAATGAAATATTATTCAGTCTTAAAAGGAATGAAATTCTGATGCATGCTACTAACATGGATGAACACTGAAGACACAGGACAAATACTGTATGATTCCACTTGTATGAAGTCCCTACAGTAGTAAGAATCATAGCAGCAGAAAGAGAATGGCAGTTGTCAGGGACTGGGAGAAGGGAAGAATGAGTAGTTTTGATCAATGGGTAAGTTTCAGTTTGAGAAGATGAAAAAATTTTGAAGATAGATGGTGGTGATAGTTGCACAATGTGAAAATACTTAATGCCACTGAACTATACACTTAAAAATGGTTACAATAGACAATTTTATATTGTATATATTTACCGTAATTTTTGAAAAAAACAAAGAGGTGTCAAAACTTAACTCAGGACTAAGATAAATGATTTACACTTTATTGCTGTTTCCTATTAAATAGTAAAGGGTATCATTTAGCATTTAGCCTGTATCTTTTTTTCTCCTTATAGTCAAAGTTTTGAAATCCATGATCTGCCTTAACCATTGAACTTCTAAAAGTCTTGCAACCGAGTAATGTAAATTCAAGCACAAGAGGACACCAGCTGTCCCAAATCCCTTTCTCTGGTTGAACTAACAAGAATTAAAAATTATCAAGGAAAAAAAGAAATATTGCCTATTAAAGTCTCAAAACTATATTTTAAGTTGTAAACACAGTTACGTGTTGCTTAATGACAAAATATGTTCTGAGAAATGCATCTTTAGGTTGTTACATTGTTGTGTGAACATCACAGTGTATTTACATAAACCTAGATGGTATAAGCCAACTACACACCTAAGCTATATGGTATAATCTATTGCTCCTGGGTTACAAACCTGTACCGCATGTGACTGTACTTAATACTGTAGGTAACTGTAACATAATTATAAGTATTTGTGTATCTAATCATAGAAAAGATACAGTAAGCCAGGCATGGTGGTTCATGCCTGTAATCCCAGCACTTTGGGAGGCCGAGGCAGGGTTGATCGCTTGACGTGAGGAGTTCAAGACTAGCCTGATCAACATGGTGAAACTGCAACTCTATCAAAATATAAAAATTAGCCAGGTATGGTGGGGGGCGCCTGAAATCCCAGCTACTTGGGAGGCTGAGGCAGGAGAATCATTTGAACCCAGGAGGCTAGGTTACAATGAGTAGAGATCGTGCCACTGCACTCCAGTCTGGGAGACAGAGCAAGACTCCATCTCAAAAACAAAAAGAAAAAGAAAAGGTATAGTAAAAATATGGTATTACAATCTTTGGACCACCTTGTATATATGGTTTGTCATTGACTGAAACATTGTTATCCAGAGCATGATTGTACAATATAATTTATGTAAAAATAAACTTTGTTATATAGTAACAGGCAAGTCAAAAGCAAAAATGACAGCCTGGGAAAATATATTTACAACTCACATTACAAATGGCAAATAACTTTAATTTATTAAGAGCTGGAATTGAATAATGTTTTAAAAGCCTAGAACCCCCAAAATGAGCAAAGGATATACACATAAACAGAAAACAAAATACAAAAATACAAACTGTTCTTAAACTTATAAAAACTTGTTCAATTTCCCTCATACTTAAAGTTACTTAAATTAAAACTATACCATTTTCCAGTGTTGGTTGACAAAAAATAAAAACAAGTTTGACAACAAACTGAATTTGTGAACTTATGGAGAAAGACACATTCCTGCTGGTGGTGTAAACTGACACAGCTAGAATTAGACAAAATCTAACTACATTACTATACCCTTGACTCAGCAATCATATTTCTTATTTTTTTTTTTTTTTT